TCATGCGTTGGTGTGGCCACATTGCCCCCAGACATGTTTAGGTCAAGCGTGAGCCTGGTGGGTGGGCTTCAACTACCTCCAGATGAGGCGTCGATGACTCATCGCACCTGTTACCAGTTGCGCTGACCTGGGGGAACGATAGTGCTCTCTGCTGACCCACTTCGTGCGGACTAACGGGACATATAAACCTCTTTATAGTTCGAGTGTTGAGGTGCTAAACTCTCTGAAGATGTAGACTCGTGTGGTTGAATATCAGACCTACACAAGACGACAGTCAATTTGCTAGGCTTTCCTCAATAATTTGTGCACACCAAGTCGAAAACCACGGCCCAATCACAATTAATCTCGCTGTGTAAGCTACAGGGCTAACTTTAGTGAAAAGGCCTTTGCTAGAAAAGAAACCAACGCCCAGCGATGCTTGAATTGACACCAGTGGCTTGGTGGTTTGTTTGATTGATGGTCGTGTTGTGCGGTAGCTTTGCAATCTCATTATGGCCCACTCAACACCGAGAAAAACCACTCTACAAGGGCAAAACTTGGTGAAAAAGCGACCGTTTTTTTGCACGGTTTCCTCACTTCTTTCCAAGCAGCGTTAGTTGGGGAAAATGGCGTCTTACGCCAATTAATCCAAACAATTCGAGGAAAATGTGACGAACTACGTTAAAGGTAGATTCTTTTGTTGAGGGCTAATTAAATTCCCCATCTCATCTCGCCTCGAAACTGGTTTGCTGATAATGCAGATGATGGTGGTGATCAATAATTCGGCGATTGTCTAGCCAATGGTGTTGCAGTCTAAAAATCCAGGTTTGTATTCATTGGATAAAAGTAGTAATCGCACACGAAACACCAAACTTTGGTCTGAGATGAACTCCAACGCAATGCCACAGATTTTTGATTACAGCTGATCAAAAATTAGTTCCTGTTTTCTTGCAGTAAATATCGTAAAAGTCCACAAAAGTTGCCCATGCACCAACGAAAATGTCAACATATGGTATTTTTCTAAACATAAAAACCAGAGCTCGCAGTGTGGGGCGCAGGTCTTGTAATGCAGCGAAACAAAATTACAACGATTCATTTACATCTCATCCAATTTTTTTTACCATTATCGTGTCAATTGTTCCCATACCAACTAGCCTGTCGAGTCGTTTTTGTCCGTCAACTTTACTAGCATCCAACTCGTGAATATCGGCGAGTCGTTGAGTTGCAAAGTGGAATATGCTAAAACTCCTTGTTCAGCAAAGAAGAATAATGCGTAAACGCCGGAGCCGTGACATTTTTGCACAATTAGCCACACAGTAGATGATCGTAACGCTGATAAATCACCACATTGGGGGAAGAGGAAGGGAACTAGTGGGGTGTTGGACACCACGTGACTGATTTGTGGGGTGTGCGCGGGTGAGGGCACGCTGTGTAACCCTCGTTCCAGGTGTTCACGAAATATTGGAGGGTGGATGGGTCGGGAATACTCAACCTTCAACCAATCCCTCACTCCTACAACGCCGAAAATGCAGCGATCATTATGGTACAATTTGGTCTCATCAAGCCAACCGTATCCTTGATTGAAGCTCCAGTTAGCGGACAGGTAATCTTATATCCGTGGAAATCCACGGTGCCCTCGTTCAGATCAGTTTGCACGGAATTTAGTTTCTGGTGCAAATCATCCATTCTCGATGTGTCTGCATACTCCTTTAATAAAGGCGAGATACAGTGTTAAATGCTTAAAAGAGCGTGCGTGTTTGGAATGATTTTAGAAACCGGTTTTGCAAAATTTGTAACTTTAAATTGACCAACTGATCGACTGAATTTGACACTGGCTTCATAATGTCCACAATTGGGTATGATCTTAATCATTCAAATGTACTCCTCCCACAACCATTAAAAATCGATTATTGCCACCCTAATTCGTCTTTAACGATTCACGACTTGCCATATGCATTAAAAACCGAAACGAAATCACGAAAATTTCATTCGCCAACTTTGCACATTTTGGAAGTCAGAAATACTTTCCATGCCAACATATTCACTTATGATAATGATTATGATAGTTGGGTTTTTTTGTAGACAAGGGTCACGGGGTAGGTAAATGTGGAAAGGAAGTGGCGCTACGATGATGGGGAAATGATCTTCAGATTGAATGAACCATGTTTGTTTAAATTTCATTAAAATTTGAGGCGGTTCAAATGAAACTGAAGAAACTGCCTAATATTGTATTCAACTAATAAGCTTAAATAATCGATAATTTCCGAGTCGAATTCAACGAGTCAACTTGTGACGAACGCGTATAGGCTAATCTTCTGAGCGAATCAGAAGCGCTCGTTTATCTAACGGCCAAAACTGATTGGTTGATTTGACCCAGAGAAATTCAAGATGTGTATGAGCCCACAAACAGACTTAAGTTATCTTGTAATTGGCTTCTTGCAGTACTGTGCGAAGCAGACACCAGCGCAGATACAGAAGCGAGCACGTCGGAATTACCTACGACGCGCCAGATCGCTCTACAGCCAGGCCAGCCCCAGTTATTCTGCCTACCACCACCAGAGTTCGCCACAACGCAGTGGCGTGCCGCGCCGCCGGTTCACGAGGGAGGAGCGTCGATCGAAGAGGGTGAAGCGGTTGGTCCGACAGCTAAGTCGCAGTTTCCGTGAGTACTACTGCGAGTGGCATCGTGACACGTACACACTCCAACCAGAATGCAGCTGTGTGTGCTGAGACAGAGAAAGCCAGAGCGGACCTTGAAGAAACACTCAGATACACCCCTCCTACACCCCAGTGTGCATCGCCTAATCGAGTACAATTACTGCTAGAACTTGTAACATATCCACTCAACTGCATTTCATTGTGTTGTGTCCTTAATCACGTTGTGAATATACGCACTCATTATATTCAATTCGTTCCGTATCGATGAGGTCATGTTAAAACCAACCAATCAGAATGCAGGCTAGCGGGAATGCATTTTTTTAGCACTGCTACCAGCGGGATTTCGAAATCAGGATTGTTGTGGTTACAAACAATCACTTCAAACACTTTTCAAAGTACAATTGTCATTGAATTGTTTCGCAAAAAAATTGATCTCGGCGCGTCTCAGCGAAGCGGCATTAAATTTAAACAAACGAGATTTCTGACAGGTGCAATTGAATGAAAGCGATGCCAAATTTGCACTGCATGCACCACACAAGTTAAAAAACGATTTTCTCAGAAAATAAAAGCAAATGTTATGATGATATCTGTGGGGCAGTGTGTGGTTTTTACTAGCTGTGGGTTCAGATTGGAAAAAAAAATTGTTTTTTTTTGTGGTGACAAAATGGACTTGTCAATCGTGCCCAATTAATTCATGATTATGTGGTAACATTCCTCAATTCACAGTATTTGCCAGCGTGAAAAGAAAGTAGTGTTTGTTTAAAACTTCAGCACCAATAAGATATTCCATGGATCCCCGCGGCATTCAGTGTTACGTGTGCATTATGAACGATCCAATCGTTGAATGAGATCCAAAAACAACTTTGCCAACGCCTCCAGCAGTTGATGATGAACGAGGTGGACAAGTGTCTGTTGCCTAGCAACGTGGACGCGTTGCTAGTCAAATCAAGAAGGTGCTCTTGAAGGTGCTTCCTGTTTCCTCCGTTAAAATCGATCGATATCAACAAGATAGTCTGGTGATTTGGCCAACCCTTACAAGGGGAACTACTGCCACGTTTTGAGTGGCTGGTGGGAAGATCTCGATCACCATCCAGACCGGTATCGCGGTTAAAATTAGACCATCTAGAGGTTAAGCACACGCCGTTTGCAAATCGGAAATTAAAATGTGGCAACCATGCGCTCACATGTGTCGAAATGCCACAGCTGAATGGTAAAATTAGCCAATAAACGGTGTTTTCAAACGCACGATAGCTGGCTGTCTTGGTGACTCCATACTTACCGAAGTTTCAATACTTAGATCTCAATGACGCTTCAAGACTGTGATTCAATTCAGGAATCGAAGTGGGAAAGTTGTGAACAAACATTTTTCTGCGTTCAAACAGGCAAAACTTTGCGGAAGTCTGGTGTCAAGATCATGATAATTTCTTTAAAATCAACTCCAGCATCGATGAAGGCAACAGCATTGTCGGAAGTTTCCGAAGCCAAGTCAGTCGCCATAGTTTCTAATAATCCGCCATGAGTTTAAATGACATTTTAACAAATGAAGGTCATCGAAAATTGGCTCACGGTTTGATGTGGTCAAAATAGACGCATTTTTGGGAGCTTAAACAATCAATCATTCAATTAGGAGCAGACCATGATCACTTGGAGTCTGCGTCTTTCGTCTAACCAATCAGGTTCCAGATAAGTTTGTGTGACCTAGAATCAAATGCCTCATGAAGTATTTTCTAAAGTAGCGAGTGCTGCTGCCGAATGGTCTTGACTTCGATAATAGTTGCAGTAAAAAGATTAGCTGCTATTTGTGTGTAGGAGACAAGAAATCTCTCATATATCAGTCCAGCCTGACCTACACACAAGGACCTGATTGGTTGACCGAACAAAAGGCCATTTTAATTGTTAGAAAAGTTTAACTTTATTTCCAACGCTTTATGAATAAATCAACCGTGGGTTTTAAGAAAAATTAAGTGAGTCAGATAAGAATGGAATCCCAAATCGTTAATTTGACTTAAAGTTGAAGCCTACCAATGAATGACTGGGGCCTGGGTTCAAATCCAAATCGCGCCTTAAATTAACCAATGTTAGTCGTCGCCTTGGCACGTAATCACTCAAAAAGATGGCCAATTATCTCACATTTTAAAAAAATGCTTGTACTTTTACATTCTTCGCTAAAATGGTGTTATATTAGCTCTTAATTTGCTAATTCACTTCTTAAATTCATGTAAAGATCACAGAAAATGTTGCTAATTTGTAAATAGCAGGTAATTTTATTTATTCAAAATTAAAAACATACAATTCTCCTTGTTTAAACGGACAGGAACGAGATTTCGATTGAAGGCCGTAACCATCCTCTCAAATATGCCTGCCGGTTTTGGTTATGTTTGCTCAGCAATTCGTCATTTTCGCCGCCAAGAACGATTTCAGTAGTATCGAATTACACGCACAAGCTACGTGACACCCGCCAGCTCACTAGCCAAACATGACTCATCGCGGCTCGAAGCGGCCAGAATTGGCGACATTCGTGGTATGCTTCATTGCATCGAATGTGCGCCACACGTAATTGCATTTACACACACATGAGGAGCCCATAAAGTCTGCAGACTAGTATTGTTATTGATTTTTAGTGACACAAAAGCATCACTGCAAGGTTGCCTCTTATGGCGCCGAATTTAATCGATCGGTTTTAGTTCTAATTAAGAATATGGCGAAAAATATGAAGACAGTCTAATATCCTGATATTAGTAAAAGGGGTCAAAACGATTAGGCATGAAAGCCAGCCCATTAGCCTTAATTCTAATTGACCAATCAATGATGAACAATGCAGATGAATTTGATTGGTTAAAGGGAAAATGTTGGGAGAGTTTATCAAAAACTCTAAGGTTAGTCTTGTATTGCAGAGATTACTTCCAGCACCAAAGAAACCATGTGATAGCGCGCAAAGTTACTGAAACGTGTGTCCTGTGAAAAAAAATCGGCCGCGTAAACTTTTGTTTGAAGTTGTTAAGGTCAAACACACCCTAGGACCAATCACAGCACGAGGAATTTTGACCCAACCTAGAATGGCCAAATCTGGGTTCAAGTCATTATTGTTTACCAAAGTTCTGGTCAGTTACCTCACTGAACGTAAATATAACTAAAAGAACTCCAAAACCATGACCTTATCAGTCTTATTGGCTGAAAAAACGCCTGTACGCCTACAACGAGCAGAGTACTTGTATTGAACTCTAGCTTTTCTGAAATCCGCAAAAAACTTTTGAAGGTAGTAACCCAATGTAGCACACAAATTTTTACTGCTTATCGATCGCGCGTGATGTCATCTTGCATCGTACCGTGCGCGAAGAGTCATCGACGTGCTGAACGCTAATCATTAATCGATACAACCACCCCAGCGTTGCGAGCGATCAAATTACGCGCCGCAATATTTAGTGAATTGACCAATCAAAACCGGTCAAATTTGAATGTGCGCCTTATGAATGCCTTGTGAGAAAACAAATTAGCTCTCGCAATTTATTCCATAAAAAAAGATGTCATCCACTGAATCGAAGATGGGCTTTGGCCGCAACCAGACACCGCAGAATGTTCGCGATGTTTAAGCAGTCATCTTAAAGGAAAAAAAGACATTTTTTTAGATTAACCGGGGAGACAAATGTCACCTACTGATTCCGCTGTGGTGTCGTCCAGTGTGCGGAAGGTTCAGCGCCCTGAGCATCGGCAACAGTCCACCGACATTGCGACCCAGGTATTCAGCACACGCCTTCACAACGGAAGTGGAGTTAATTTGAACAAACACATTGTACCTGCTTTATGTTGATCCAACGACGACAGTAGGCTGGCAGCGAGCAGCCAGCGAGACTGGCTTGTTGAGGGAGCCTTAGTGGAGAAATGAGGAAATCATCTCGATTACTTCACACAAACCAGCACTCTCGCTTCACAAGCGCCATTGTTTTTTGGCCAAACAAGCAACCAACAAACTGCTTCGTGTTGGTGGTTTTTTCGGCAGCTGCTGCGCGCTTTTTCCTGCGTGTGTGTGTGTACTCCAAGCGAACGCCAACTGCTACGACTGATTCTCGCAATGTGACTTTCTTCGTTGCCTTCTGACCAAACCAGATGAACTCTGGCGGGGCCAAGCCAAGGCCACGCGAAGGTCACTTCAATCAGATAACGCGCCGGGGTGGCAGAACGGTGGAGATATATTCCAGTGTCGAAGGTCAGTGGAAATGTCATCTCGCTTTATCCAACCAGAATTTGACATAGTGAGCATCATCATCATTATCATCATTGTGAATGAAATCGTGTTCAGGGTTTTGTTCTTGAAAACTGGACACACCCTAGAGGCAATATATTGATTACATTGATGGATGGTCCAAACTTTTTTTATTTTCGAGGCACACTACTCATAAAACTTTACAGTATTATATAGTGGAGGCGCGAAGCTTTGCCCCTGACGGTTCCGGCAACCACAATGCATACGAAAATGGAGTGCACAGTTCTTTTATTGGATGGTTAAATAGACACTTCATCGATTATGCGATGAAACGAGCCGAAAAATCGATATTTTAGAGAGATTACTTACATATGTCCCAAGTCCCAATCCCCACAGGTGACAAAAGCGAAAGACGACTTGTCCTCATCTGTTGGAAAGTGTCCATTAATCCAGTCTTCGAAATCCTATCAATAAAGCGGGATTCGAGTTGAAAATGTTTGCGACGTTTTTTAAAAATAGTATCGATCACCTTCGAGTCATTTAGCGTACTTTAAATGTGAACTGCAGTTGTTTTCTCAACACCAATAGAAATGGCGGCATTTACGGCAGTGCTCAATTAAACTCAAATTTGATTAGTCTAAATTTACACACAAAACGAACTCTGGCACAAACTAACTACGGAGACTCACATAAGTGTACTTTCACGAAGATAACAATTTTAACGCCACGGACTTGCCTTCTGGCATACAAAGACTAAAAGATATTAATAAATCTGGCTATTTATCGTTCTGGGATGGACGATAGATTTGACTACTAGCAAATAAATTTGATTGGACCATTTAAGACCTAAGGTAGAGTCGGCATATCCTTTAGAAATCGATTTTTGGCCTAGAGACTTACCTTAAGAACTACCGGAAATTCAGCCTGGAAGTCAACCATATCTTGGATGATGCCTGTTAACTAAAACAATTAAAAAGCACTCACCAGGTCTCCTCTACTCACAAATTATCAGTAGCAATGCTATTTTTGGCTTTCTGAGGAGGGGCTTTAGGCGATGTCCTACCCAATCACGTACCTGAGTACAAAAGTCCGAGAGTTTGGGATGGTGGACGGGTCGTACGTAACGATGGAAGCGATCCACCTCCTGAAGAGTGTGTGCGTTCAGCAGAAGCACGGGGAACTCGATAATTTCCTACCGGCTGTGAAAGCGCATTAGTGAACGACCTACTTGCGGTCGAATTAACCCGTGTTCAATACACGTTGATTCAAAATCCAGTACAAGGTAACTTAACGCACCCACGACAAGAGGTCTTGATGCATTCACTAATCTTCCTGCCTATGAGTGTAAACAGAACGGTAGCAATCACTTGCGGTCCGATTCGACGGCCTACTTTTAAAATACACCCGCTACTTATTTTTAATAAGTAGTTGTAATTTCAAGACAGTCAGTTTAGCACCACGCCAGCAGTGATGAATCTAATTCCAGGGAGACAGAAGCAAAGAAATGCGAGAAGGTGAAATCGGAAGCAAGCACATCTCTTTATTTAGGGCGACGGTTGTCACAAACAGACGGGAGAAGAGCATGTCCCCCCACACAGAGAGAGGGCATAATTTCACCGTACATAATGATATCTCATCCCCTCTCTAGGTCTTGCTTCAGCACGACGAAAAGACCAAACGAGAGCAATAAAAGTAGCAAGTTAATATAGCCGACAGCGTGTGAGTGTGAGTGGGTGTGTGTGTGTTGGTGTGGGTCAGTGTGGTTTAAAGCGTATCACAGAAATGGGGGACATCGCGTCAACGCGCCGACTCGGTCTCGAATTGGCGCACTGCGTCGATTATCTCCGAGGCCAGTCGCTGTAGCAACGCAGCGCACGTCAGCTGTGCGTCTGTCGGACCGATCGATGCCGCCTGCTGGTGGGTTACTGGCTTGTCGCTGGACAAATCGAAGGCGGGCAGACGCGCCAGGGAGTCGCTAGGCACCAGAAACGGCGCACTTGTCGAGGGTGCTTCCGAGGCGGCGTTGTTATGATTACTCAGGTCCAGATGCTGCAAGTGGGGAAAAAAACTTGCTACTGACTAATAACAAGTAGGCGTTTAGTGTCAGTTGATGTGTGTGCGCTTACGGTAGCCCAGATCGGTGTAGAACCAAGTGATCGCCAGGATTCTGGAATGGCCAGACTGCTGGAGACGCTGAGATTGCGGTTTTGAAGGAAATTGTCCAGGTGGTAGTGCGGAAGGCACAGCGTGGCAGCGTCCACCGACACAACGTAGAGCAGGAAGCGCTGGAGGTATGGACACTCGCGTAGAACTGGCACGTAGCGCGAATCTAAGCGAGAGAGACAGCGTCGGCGTGTCTTCGAAGCGACAAAAAATACCCCCACACATCTACAACTACTTCGAGAGTTGGCTGCAGCCGAGTCAAGTAGATGCCAGGCCAAACCACACCCTAATCAACTCCCACGTTGTGGGCGGATTGGGCTTAAATTAGGCGTCTTGGTGCACTAATTGCATCCTCCAATCAGACCGCTCGTGGTTGCTTTCATTGGCCAATCACAGTTTAGTAGACAAACATTTTGACAGAAAATCAGAAATACCTGTTGCACAAGAACTAAAAATGCAATTTTCGCTAAAATTGACCGAGATTGGAGAATACACAGCAAGCTCTAGCATAGGGTGTGCCGACGTGTTTAAATGTAGCGAACCGCCACAGCAAGGTTATCTGTCATCCAATCAAATCGCTCGTTGTTGCTTTCATTGGCCAATCACCGATTAGAAGACAAACAGTGGAGGTACGATTCGATGTGGGACAGAAAATCAGAGGTACCTGTTGCATAGGGACTAAAAATGTACTTTTCGTTAAATTGAGTGTAATTGGAGAAGACACAATGTGCTTTAGCATACATCTGCTAAACGCAGCGTACTGCCGTGTTTAAATGCATCAAACCGCCACCACAAGGTCGTCTATCGATTGGCGCTTTTTCGTTAAAGTAAAGCTACAGTTTCACCAGTGCCTAGAAAACGGATCCATCACGTGGAAAGAAAAATGCTTTTCCCTTTCAAGTGGCAGCAAAAAAATGCCTCTGGTGTGCAGCAAGGAGAACGTGGGCGTGGCGTTAATGCCAGGCTACAAACGCGCCCATTGGTTGCTGCCTTCAAGGTCGTTTTCCGCGTGATATCGAAGGCGATTACCACGAACTTTAAGCATAAAGTGCACACCTGCGCGGTAACACCGCGTCAGCGATTGGCGTGAGTTCATGACGCGTGCTGGTTCGTCGTTTTACTTCCAGTCAGAACATCGGGTGGTGGTTTAGGCGACAGACGACAACAACAATAACAGAGAAAAACCCACTTTTCTTCGTGAGGATGTGGTGAATCGCCCACACAGCCCACAGGTGCATCTCCAGTCGGCTGTTGGGATCGAGGATCAACGACTGGAAGGGCTGGAAGGAGCGGTAGGCGACCATCTCGTTTTGCGGCGGCGACCACTTGCACACAGCTTCCCCCTGAAACACAACAAACACAGCACAACCACATGAAGGGCCTTGGGACGGTGGAGCGGCGCATCCAACGACTGCCTGCAACTCACCAGCACGCGGATGTAGTCGGACTTGTTGAACTGCAGCGCGGAGAACCACGTGTCGTCGGAGAGGCACGCCAGGTGCGACACAATGCCCGCGGCGAAGTAGCTGATTTGGATGCTTGGATGGCTCAGCATTTTGCTACAATGGAGTGAAAATTAGGGCGGTGGGGGTGGAAAATTTGCTGAATTACACCGACAGAAGCACTCACTTGAAGAAGTCCATCAGTGGCTCCATTAGGAGGGTGTTCTTGGTGCACCGCACTTCGGCCACGTTGTTCTGGAACACAAAAAAAACATCACTCAGACGACCAGCTGGAGTTTGGTGCGAGGGCAACATGCCGCGCGTGACCTACTAGCAACCCCAAACACTTGGTGTACACGTGGTTCTTGAAGTCCTCCTCTTCATCTGCCACTTTCTGAAAGTGAAAAAAAGATGGATAGGGAGACGATTTGTGGACAGAGAAGGCCACTGCCGACTCGTGGAACACGACGCACCTTCAGGACCTTGGCGTAGATGAGGAGGCCGCCGACGTGGACGAACGCCTGGCACGCCTCCGGACACTCGTCGGTGAGGTTCCACAGGGCGGAGAGCGTGAAGCGGAGGGTGGTGTCGTAGACGGGGGAGCCGGTCTCGGGCACTTGGGCGTACTTGAGGTAGTTGAGCATCTGGTTGTGCGGTTCGGCGAGCAGCGCGTCCACGTCGCTGCGCAATAGACACTTCTCCACCACGTACATCAGCAGCTGCTGGAGGCGTTTGCGGTCGGAGGAGAGCTCACGCAAGTCGGCGGTGGGGATCTGTCAGTGTGGTGGTGGAAAACAATAGACAGTCAATCCGGTTAGGCTTGTGACTCGACCTTGAAGTGACCAATGGGGAGCGAGCCCACCGTCCAACGCGATGAATCAGGTTGGATCAATGTGCTTGCATGTGGTTTATCAGTTTATCGTATTACCACCAAGACGCGACCGTGGAACTACCGATAACACTCACGTCTACCCGCGTACGAACGAACGAACAAAGCCGTGCTAATCGTTTAATTACCAAAACCGTCTGCTGTTACGTGAAGTAATTCAAGCACGCCTACCTCAGCAGCTAGAATTGAGATGATGGCGACGCCCATGCGTTTCATGTGGACGTCGTTGAAGTTGATGAGGCTCCTGAAGACCAGCTCGAAGCAGCGCTTGCAACTGAATTGCTACAAGTGGACAAGAACAAGGCATGAGCAGGGGGACTGGCGCAGGGTTTCACATCGACCACACCACACACGATTAGCAGGGGAGTTAACACACACGACGCGACAAACGACAGCTGGTGGTGGCGGTGGAAGTGATAGTGGACGAGAAGAATAAGGAAAAGGTACTGGAAGTGATGGTGGGAGTGTGGAAGAGGTGGTGGTGTTGCTAGTGGTGGAGGTGGAAAGTGGTGTAAGAGGTGGTGGTGGCGGTGGTGGACGAGAAGAATAAGGAAAAGGTACTGGAAGTGATGGTGGGAGTGTGAAAGAGGTGGTGGTGATGGTGGAGGTGGAAAGTGGTCTAAGAGATGGTGGTGGCGGTGGTGGTGGAAGTGATAGTGGACGAGAAGAATAAGGAAAAGGTACTGGAAGTGATGGTGGGAGTGTGGAAGAGGTGGTGGTGGTGAAAAATGTGATTCTGTGGCGTCGTCGTGATCGCGAATTCGCATCACTCACCGCACGATGGAGGACGTTGTCACTGCAGAGCGTAAGAAAGCAGTTTTTGAGTAGTTGGACCTGAGTTTGGTGGTGCTCGATGGACATGAGGGTGATGCTCACGGCGCGGTTGAGCAGTTCCAGAGGCAACTGGGCCGACTGCTCGCCTCGAGTCAGGTTGTAGACTACTGCGGTGCCCGCCAGAATCATCTCCGGTCTGTTCATGTGCAGACGCATCACTCGTAGCACGGCCTAAGACAAGACACACACACACACACGCAGAGCTTGGGATCGTAGATCCAAAAATGAGATCAAGGCGGTTTCACTGACAAGACATGACCACGCCAGACTAGTCGAGAAATGACGATACGAGGTGAATGCCAACTCTCACCATCCCTCCGTGTTTTGCGGTGTTTGTGGATTTTATCGCTTCCCAAACCGTGCTAACGTAACACCTTTGTAAAGACGTGTGGTGTTGGCGTCATTTACGCCAGTAACGTCTAAATTGTGAATCAGCTGTTAGATCACAGGTGGGATTTACCCTGGTGAAATAAATTTTCCGCAATCGAAGTAAAAAAAGAAAATTTACAGCAAGCAGATCGGGGTTCAACCACTCGCGAGAGCTTGTTTCCTCGAAGATGTTGTGGAAGGCGTTCTGGAGGTAGAGTCGTCGATCCTTGTTGCGAGTCAAAGAGGCCAGTAGAGGCTTCTCACCACGATCTCCCAATATCTGTAGGTAAAGAAGCATAAGACACATAGATTAGGGTCGAAAACGAGGTTTGGGACGAGTCGCCTACACAGGATTCGCTGTTCGTAGACACGGCAGTTTAGAAATTAGCAATTACAGTGTCTATCAGCGGAGATTTTGGCTTACTTTGTTGCGGTTGGCTGGCAGACAAGCCATTGACTAAGAACCGCTAAATCAAGCGTTAAACTAGAGTCAAAAAACCCAACTTAACGCGTATTTACGAGAACGCACACCACCGAAACATGTGATCCGCCACACTAAAAAAAGGCCTAACTTTGAACCAGGAATAAGAGAAACAGGTCAAGTTGTTGATTTGATTTAAACCAACAACAAGTTTGGCAAGCCTACTCACCGTAATGTGGGGATACTTCAGAGAGAGTTGGTAGATACCTTCAAATTCGTAATTTTGCCTGGTTGGCCAAGCTGCAAGTCCAATAAACTCTAGCTTTGGGTGGTTTTCAATGAAACTTCTGTAAAAAAAGCAAACAAGTGATTGATAAATATCGTTTCCGCTAGAAAGCAACATTTAAATAAGCGCTAATGGCAAGAAAACGGGATAACCAAGAATAACACACAAAAGTAGGAGATCGGTGACTTACTTGACGTCACTAAGCCTCAAACTAAACTGGTTTCCGCAAATATCAAAATGAGTAAGGTGAGGAAGGGCGCCAGGGGCGCAGAGTCGATCGACCGCGGGCAGCCTGGGCTTATCTTGATCAGGCGCAGACGACACGTCCAGAACACGAAGCGCCTTCAGCTCGAGCACTGTAAGGAGCACTTTTTCGTGTGATTTGCTGTCCAATGTTAGCCTGTGCATTATCAGACCGGTAAGCGTTTCACGCAAATCTAGCAAAGCAGTGATATTGTTGATGTTGGTTCGAGAAATATTCAAGTAACGGAGACGGGGGAGCAGCTTGACAGTGTTCTGCAGACACTCCGAAGTGAATCTGGTCCGGCTGACATTAAGAACTTGGAGATTCTTAAGTCGACCCAACGAAACAATCACGGGTAACTTGTTTTCTTCGATATTTGCGTTGGAGACGTTGAGCGACACCAGGTTCTCTGCCGAAGCCTCCCCAAGGCAACCAATAAGGCCGTTAAGATTCACTTGTTTCAGGTTAGTTGCAGTGAGGTTGTATAGCTTAAAGTCACGAAGAATACGCAGAGCAGACGATGTTACGGGGACATCGCGCAGGACCGGCGATATAAGGTCGACGTACTTCGATGAGAAGAGGTTAAGATACTCATCCCTTAAAATTTGACGTTTGCATAACTTGAGAAGGATTTTTTCTGCAGGACGAGCGATGATTCTACAGTCTGGCCAAGGAAAACGCCACACATATTTTGGTTCCACACAGTCTGAACACTTCGTAATGACAGAGTGGAGATTTTTGGATATCCATCGGACACACGTGTCCTCCAACGACGGAACTGAGTCTGAACATTCAAAAATATTGATACCAGGATATAAAAACCTGCTTAGTTATATATAAAGATATCACCGTATAAGTAATAAAAAATTCTAACCATAAATTAGAAGAAATTAGGGTAGATAAAAAAGGAAGCCCCACATCCACGGCCTAATAGTTCAGTACCAATAGATTTGTATCTTAAATGTACCAAAGTACTGGTCAATAAACATTGAAAGGCGCTTAAAAGGTTATACTAACAAGATTCCATTAATGTATTAAGAGTCAGCTGCCTTTCAATTTATTTAAAATTATTGCATTGGAATAGGTGCTGGAATTTAGACATATAAGAACGTAGACTACGAATATTTCAAATGCTATACGACCGAATAAAAAAATTATACCCAACTTTACAATAAATGATCTCTGTCACTACCGAAGGAAAAAAGAGGAGACTTACAGCGATCGCACATTTCGCTAATCTGCGAATGCGCTCATAGGCCAAACAACCAGTAATTAGGCTAAACAGCCATTTTGAACAAATCAAAACAAAATTAATAATTTATAATTCCAAAAAGGGTTGAAATAATTTTTCAGTGATTTAAATATTAAAAAAATTACATTTAACCGTTTGTAATTTGAATTGTGAATACTCTTAACACTATGTTAGGTAATTCCATTGAGTTTTAGGTTTTTAAATGGGAAATAATGGTTTTTACTGCATTTATTGATATGTGACTAAGACCAACGGCTTAAAAACATTCTAGTAGCGAAAAGGTAGTAACTTAGACCAAAGTAGTAATTTGACCGACGTCAAAGAGTATGCATGATGGTGTCAAAAACGTATACCCAAAAAATGGGATTTTGTTCGAAAGAAGTAAGCGATTATTTGTTTATCACCATAATTTTTTTAATTGATTGCTCATGACACGCAGGGTTCATGGTCCCGAAATATTAAAAAAGAGATTATGCAGTAACAAATGGGACATAAATTACTAGTTTTGTTTTAAGTAATATCTCTCCCGTAAACATTTTTTTGAGAACCCTTCACATGGTGCATGCAAACTTTAGGTAACTAAATTTCGTTGGCAATTATTTAAAACCAAATATTCTTGCGAATGGATTCTGTAATTAGAAGGTTAAGCAGGTTTAATTTAAACCATAATAAATATTGTTAAACCACAACTTCATCTGAGCTTTAAGTAAGAGCATTTAAAAATCCTTCATAGAATAAAACTTCCTAATTTGCAGCCAGCTTTCTTTTACATTTTAACTGATAATGATGTTCGACGATCGAAATTTTATATTGTTAACTTAGTTCGGTAATGGCATTCAAAACTCCGATTGTAATGCTTGACAGTAGAAGTAAATATTAGACAAGATCTGATACCTAATCACTGAATAACGTCGATGGCCAACATATGCAACAGTCCGAATTGTGACGCTTCAACACCAGCTCACTTGCTTTCCTGTCCAAAGATCTTACATAGAACCTTCAATAAATTTTAAGAAATCGTAGTATTTGTCGACTAGTTTAGCAAAGTTCACATGTTTTAGTGTGTGTATTAATTAATGCAAACTGACTTAAAAGCTATCGCTAGTTTGTTGATTATTCGGCGCAAATATCAATAGCCATAAGCAGATTTAAATGGCGGTTATCCTAGACAAACATATTACGAAATTAGGTAGAATTAAGGGTAAGTACATTAAACAGGTACAGTCCTTAGCATTTGTAAATAGCGTTTCAATAAAACAGGTGTTGTAAAACAAATGGTTTCTGTGTAAATTGCATATTACACCTGGCTTAAGCTTAAACTGTTATGCCTTTTTGGTTTTGTTTGAATTAATATCAACATGTAGATGATTACTCGTCAAAAACATACTTTTCTGTAGCTCAATGTGCCACTGTAGCGGCTTGACAGATAGCAACCATATTGGTGTTAATCCATTGGTGTTAATCCATTGGTCCATTGAGAAGCACGCCATGACGGCGGTGTCATATGACCGGGGGTGCGACTTTCGGCCGTGTGGCGTCACGTGGACAGCGCCCCGGAACGGACCAACGGGAGAACAGGACGACGAGGACAAGGATATATAATGACCCTGTTTCCTCTTACGCCCGACCTGTTTGTGACTAGATTGTGGCTCGTTTCAGCCTTTATTAAAGTACCCCCTTTTGCCTTACTCTATCTCTTCTTGACCATATCATGGGTCAGAAACGTACACCACATAAAATTTTCTAGCTGTCTTTAATGGAGCACCAAAATTCCAGTGATTCTCGTCCAGTTGGCAGAATAGAATTCATCACAGAACAAACTTGCATTTTCACCGAACCTAATGAAAAGTCCAACTGTACCGGCTGTTACATCCACCGTGCTGAATCTGCATAACCTACGTTTTACTGCTTTATTTTCGTTTCATCACTAAGTGAATTAACCCACAACACAAAAAGTGCTCACGAAATATTGTTGTGATTTTTGCTTGTTATCCACAAACGATAAATTTGTTTTGTCGAATTGCGTTACATTAAATCTAATTTTCCTGTGTAAAATTTTCCACTTACGCAGTTGTGGTAAACAGATTCATCTTTTAACATGAGTGAAACGTCAAGGTTGACCAAAGAAAGGAAGGGGGTTACGCACCAAAGATTCTACAAAGTGAAATCAAGATGATGTCTACTCTATAGATCAGGGACCAAAGCAGCATCACTAATAACCACAGGTTTGCCCATATTTGTGCAATCAGTACGTATGGACAGCCAAACCACGAATTTTACACCCTTGTGGATATTGTTGGGTGCATAAACTAAAACTTTGATCGAAGGCTGGGAGAACGAATCGATTTCTAAGATGGGCTTTGCGCTAGTCCTAGGAACAGTCTGGCGTCGTGATTGGTCAGCGTTTATTCGAGACCCTTTGGGGATGACAAATGGAATGGAAGGATAGGAAATAAATGTTACCATAGCAAATCTGAATGATATGACCGTCGTTAACTCCATTAAAGTGCATTTTGACTGAAAGGTGGGCAGGACGACGAACTCGATCTGCATCAGATGGACAGACAGACAGACGGACATCACGGCGCCCTTTTTACCCGAGATCAGAATTGAACCTCGGAGAAATTTTGAAGCAGGACTCCAAATATTTTTGCGATTAAAGGGATGCTTAATTGACTCCATAAAAACGGTTAGTAGGAAGTGGCGAACATTGTGCTAACTGAACCACTACGTGAAAGAAACTAATTAGACCCCCATCTACTGATTCCGAAATGTGTAGAAACATATGTCGTGTAGGAATGAGTGAGCTGGAAAATGATTTGATGAAGGGTGTAGCCGAAGAATCGACGCGAGGCTTTCACGTGGATGACATCCTAGTGAATCAATGCCTGAATCAGACCAGATTGTATCCATTTCCTCCGACTGCCGAAATCGACCGAAGCAGTTTCCGTTACGAGCCGGAAGGGATATGCCAGTAGATTAGCTTCAAATTGTTGCCTACTTTTTAGTTGATCGGTTTCCTATCTCTAGTTGCGTTCCTAGCATCAGGGTTTGTCATTAGATTGTGGCGGGTGGGGAAAATTGTACTTCTCGATGTTATATGCCTTTGAAGTGGACGGAGATTCCTACCTTTCAGCAGCATGTATTGAGCGATACACTCAAATTCGCCATTGGTGCGGTAGCCAATTTCAAGAAAAACAATCAAGAACCAATCCAGAATTGGTTAAACAATGGCTAAGAAAAAATTTCCAACAACCTGGATTAAGCTAACTCACATCCAACCACGTTTCACGGTTTGAACTTGCGCGTTGTTCACTGCACCTCTGATTTCAAACTATAATTCTTAGTCTTCTATCAGTGTAACTGGTGACACAAAGTGCTGGGGATGGCCAATGAACC